TTAATTCCTTCCGTGAGAACAATCCTCTGAGAGAAATACGTCCACCTTTACCAAGTCATGCGTTTGTCCGTGGACTGTATCAGACACTTGACACATGCACGCATCGCGCGCCAAAATTATGCGGACACCGGAATTTTTTAGTCCAGTTTCTACAACACGGCAGCGGCCGTCTCCCATATACTGATTGTCCAAGCCTTGCAAAGCTGGACGTGTCGAAGTATTCCACAGCTAAGTAAATGGGAACGTGGCAATCACGAACGCTTCTAAGTAGGGTGCCAACAAAACATGGGTGGTGTACTACTACTACTACTATAAATTCTTTTACATTGGTAGAATAAAGTCTATCCACTTGATTTCCGATTTCCCGTGTATCTATTGTACATGCTTCTGACCAGCGTAATGCTAGTATTTTTTTTACATTGTTTTCAAAACGATCTTCAGATGAGCAAGAAAACTAAGAGTTTCCCTTTTTGCGTCGACTTGTGGGGTTAACAAAGCTAAGAAATCCCCAAATGGGATCAAGATTAGGGCCGAAAACACCTAACACATTGATTGCACGTGACAATAACCGCAAAGGTTTAGGCATCCGCGGTCGCCCACTAGAGCAAGTGGTCAACCTCCATAGATTGCGTTAGTTGAGGCGTGTGTTACGCATGTCACCAAATAGGTTGCCACGGCGAGCGATGTTCACCGAGGCAGGTGGTGAGTGGAAAAAGCCAAGAGTGGTCAAGCTAAGACCTGGCATGAGGTTATGAAAACCCTAACCAGTTGTATGGGTTACGTAGATCCCGTTAGCTTCCTGGTTGGGGACCTCAGGATGATCGTGACCGATGGTTAAAGACATAGCAGTATGTCTGGGAGTCCTAAACAGTGGCGTTCATGCATCTTCTAACTATTAGTCCATTGTGCTTACTAACTTATCCTACCTAACCAGATCAACAAAATTGTTGTTGTCGCTATATGTCATTTCGTCTCATTGATAGAGCCGAAAATGGGATATTTGAGCCTTAGTATGCGATGCTGTAAAAAACACCTGACTGGCCCTTTTTATTTCAGCAGTGAGGACTGTTGAAGTTTCCTTTGCACAGTTCCCATCGACACCATTAATTCAAGGTCTATCACCAACTGTTCTGGCACTGATTTTATTATCCTGGATGGGGATGAGAAATTCGACGATCTATTCATTGGATAAACAACGCTCAAGTATGCGCATATTTCAACAGAATAACGGGTCCCTGTGAAACATTTATCGGTTTGTATAGGCAACAGCATTTAATTTTTTCCATAATAATTTCCATATAATTTTTTCCAAATAATAATAAGCAAGCCTTGGTGAGTCTTTATAGACGTGATTTTCCTAATTCGTTTAAGCATATGGAATGGTTCAGAATGTAGGGGATACTCCCATTTCGTCAGTAGTCGTTGACCTAGACCATGATGAGTTAAGAGGTAACTAAAGAGAATGGAACAGTTTTTATTTATAACAAATTAACACTGATAATAATTAAGGTGTAAAGTTTTGGTCTGCCTTTGTTCTTTAGGACTTTTTCGAGTCTCTTCGGCATCGAATCCACCAAATTTGTTCTGAAGTCATTTGCTCCATTACGTATCGCACTTTTGCCTCCACTGTCCAATGTATAGGTATCACATTGACCTCTCTATTCAAAACAGAAAACATTTTCAATCACATTGAGATCTGGGCTATTAGGATGAAGTTGCATGAGCTGGACCTTAGAGTCACGCATTTTTCCTGAAGTCTAAAAGCAAATAATAAGTGAACCAGAATCCCTAACTAAATAAATTTACTGACCTCTCGTGAAACATGAAACGGAGCTTTATCCTGAAAAACGATAACTTTTCCAGACTATTTTTTCATGAAATTCTGGAAACATTTTCGTAATTACTGATGCAAATTTCCCACTATTCTTGGTGCCTTTGACTGATGTCCACCGACAAGGCTGACCATGTTTTATCCCTGCCCAAATGAGTAATCTCGACAGGTGAGAAATTTGGTAGAATAAGTTCTTTTGGGCAATTCTCACCACAAATTACTTTTTTGTGAGCCTCCCAAGGCTCGTCGCACACCATGCACTCGTCGGCGAAATAAACCGATCGCCAAAATGACGCACGTCGAGATTTGAATCCTCGGGCAAAATTAATACGCACCTGTCTTTGCTGCGCGTTCAACGATAGCGGGGAAGATCTTCCCGTTGGATAGACGACAACGAATTTCTGCAATATTTTTCAGAGTAATACGAAACAGGTCGTCCTCCTGTTTGGATGTACTCGGTTTACGGTTTCACAAGCTGTTCTGGTTGTTGTTTTCCCACGGATTATCCTGTAAATTGTGCTT